AGCTGCCCAGAGACCCACCGGGAAACGAAACAATCAACGCTCCGCAGTGCCCATTAAACAGAGTTTGTGTTTAAATACCAACTAGTTCTCTGTGGGACAACTCCTTGTGTTCACCACGCAAACCCGCCAGTAAAGATAAAAAAACCCACTTAACGATCGATAACCCATGGAAGGATTCACGGGACATCGGTGGAGCAAAGGGAAAAGTAACACAAAAAGCCGTCCGTTTGTGCTGCCCGCAGTCCAAAGGCCACCGGAGTGTGTCTGCTCAACCACCCACTGCGCAGGGGGGAAGAAAAAAAAGTTGTTTCTCTGAAACAAGGGCACCCTTCCAGCAAGGGGGGTGCCAGGAGGCTGCCAGCTCCCCGAGGCAGGACTTTATCTCGACCACAAAGCAATGTCTGCCATTACGCTGCAGTTTGCGCAGGGGCTGTGATTGGCTGGCGCGAAGGAAAACTCTTGTTTAAACCAACGCAAAGCGAAAATACAAAACCAGGCGAGTTCCCAAGCCCAGCGCTGCAGAGCCGGGATCCCGAGCCAAGCCCTGCCCGAGGAAAGGGGACGGGCAAGCTGGAGCCCGAGGCCTCAGCACTCTGCAAAACAAGGAAAATAAAGCAGGGGTTGGGTTATTCGAGCCGAGCCGCAGTCTCAGTTACATCTAATTCCCACACCAGGGCATTTCTTTGGAGATTTTCCACCTCCTCCATGGACTAGATATATTTCTAGTACGTAGGCTTAGTTTTCTTCATTTTGTGGGGGAGGAATCTCAGCCTGTGTCTATATTTAAAATCACCACTCTCACAACTAATCAAAGAGATGTGGCTTTCTCTTTAATTAAGGTGCCTATCCTTTAATTAAAAAAATAATCTAAATTTCAATCCCTGTCTCTTTTGCAAGGACAGCGTTGACTTACGGATTGAACCACACAGCTCCTGCCAGGTGGGGAATCTCCCCGCCTCTGGCACCAGGACATGCAGGAATCCGCAAGCGACGATGCAAGCGCGTGGCACACAGGAGATGACCGAGCTCGGGTTTGTTGCGGGGGTAAGAAATGGCAAAACAAAACAATTTACACCATTTCCAGTTTGTGCTATTCCCGCTCCCAGCCTGCACAACCCTTTGTTCCGGAGCACTGTTAATTAAAACATGCAAATGACTACTAGGCTTTCGTGTCATGTATAAGTAATGGTGTTTCCTCACCTTTATTGCTAAGGTTTTTCGGGGCGCGTGAGACCAGCAGGCCCCTGTTCCTCACAAACCTGCAGACCGTTCACACCTGGTTCAGCCCCAGGAGCTGCCCGACAGCCTGTAGACGTCTGCTCCCCTCCTCCCGCTCCCAGCAAAGCCGGCAGCGCTCGGCCCATGTACGCAGGAGGGAAACGCAGCAGAGCTCAGGTTTGCTGGGCTGCCTTCAGCCCTCCGCACAGCCGGGTGACAAGGTTCACCCCCAGAAGGAGGGCTGGTGGCTTTCGGGGTCAAATCTTATTCCTGCACACGCAGGAACTAGAGGGGAAAGGCTCAATTCAGCAAGAGGAGCGGCAGTGCCCAGGAGAGCGCCAGCATCTATTTTGCAACCTCAAAAATCCAGTAGTACCAGTAGCGGGATAGGCAGAGCCTGCCAGAGATCTCCTTGCAGCCCAGGGTGGTACTCACTCCACTTGTACTAACAGCTTCAAGTATGTACTGGGTGCAAGAATGCTTTTTTTTTTTTTTTTTTTTTTTTTTAAGCCTTTAATCCCCTCTTTGAACCTTAAGTACACCCAGAAGAGCACTGTTTTGATTCTTAAAGGGCTGGGCAGAAGTCACAGGGTCCACACGGACACAGCTCACCTCAACCGGTCCAAGAGACAGGTCTGTTTTCACACCCAGTTTGGCCTCGCTCTGTCAAGTCCTCCAGCAGCACGTTACACATCAGTGGAAGTTTGGCAGTGCTGCTACCCACAGAAGATGAGCAGCACAGCTATTAGCCAGCCCAGAGTCTTTTACAAGCCTAGGGTCACCTACGGTATGGCTGTGATGAACTACTGCAGCTCACTCCTGCCCCAGCACAGCAAATAAACCCTTCAGCAGCTCTGCTGACAGCTAGATGACATTGTACTGACCAAGAAGAAAAGCAATTCTCTGTAGAAAGTTCAAAAACTTCATCGAAATTCAGATTTTATTTCAAAAACAGTCATGAACTTAATAAATTACACAATAATTTTCCTCATTATAAATTCTCAATAAAATATATTTTACAGTTTTTAAAGAAAGATTTGAAAAAAAAAATTCTTTTCTGAGTGCTGAAAAGTATCTTGACTTTGTGTCACGCTGGTGAGTAACTCTGTAGCTGCTACAACAATTTCATTTATCAAAGGTTTCAAAACAAAGACCTCAGACAACAAAAAAATCAAACAGAACAGAGACATCAAGGACTACCATTCAGCGCTAACCAAGGAAACACTCAGTGTCACCCAACGGCAAGGCTAAGCACCATGAGAGGGATTTCAGGTACCCCCACCCTTTAAAGTGGCAATCAGTGCAAAGAAACACTTTGGGAGTCAAAAAAAAAAAACAAACACCACCCAAACCCAACTTTCCTGTGCCATTCCCTAGCGCTTATTTCTGCATGGCAGGCAGGCAGCACGGTCGGTGTTCCTCCTTTGAAAAACTTCAGAGGAGAATCAGATGATTTGCAAAGCGCCTTACAGGTAAGTAGTATTATTCTGTAGTAGATTCATACTTTAAGGTAATATAGTTGATTCTGACTTTTAGGTAGGCAAGAGTAAGAGGAAGTTAGCAAGGTATTTTGAAATGTTCCCAAGTTTAAGAAAGAAAAATTGTATACCCTCTTAAAACTTTACTTGTCGAATGACCACGCTGAAATGCAAGTACTGTGAAAGTGTTGGCACAGACAGCGAGAGGTTTGTTTTCCTCCTTTCAGAAACAAGCTTCAGTTGTACTCATGTTTTAACTGAGTTCAGAACAGGCAGATCTCCACTCCTACAACATAAGAATAAATGGATCTCTCCTTGTCGTTACTCACAGAAAGGCTCCAAGTGGTCTTTTATAGACTAAGGTCCCTGCAGGGAAGGGGCGATACTGGGACACCTACACGGTTAACAGGCTGTATCCTCGGTAAGATGCAGTCGCCTCTGTCCCTGCGGATTTATGCTGAAGCAAAGGCACTCTGCTGTAGTCAGGAACAGTGTCTTCTGAAAGTTACTTCTATAGCATCTTCTAAACAATAAACATCGTTTAGAGTCAAAGTGTATCTGTCTGAGAATCACTGTTTAGACAACTTGCCTTAAACGATAAAGTAAAATAACAAGAATTAAGGACTAAGGCCCTGTGGGTAACTGTCACCTGCTCTACACAGCACCAGGTAAGAACCAGCTGTAGTCAGTAAAGCCTCTGAAGTCTGGCAGAATCAGAATCCTTTGCTTTTGGATGAACAAAAAGTTACATTTTAGTTGTGCTGTTTATTCACACTTGGGCAGAATAAACACTGACTGCTCAGAACTGCTCTCGCAGCACTAAGAGGGAACAGTATCCACGCAGTAAGTTATACAAGGGCAGTTTCAGGTAAGATTTGGGAAAAAGAAACATTAAATTGATTTATTAAGAAAACTGGCCTTTGTTGCAGCTTTATAGGCAATTTTTTAACATTCTACTTCTTCCAAAAGGTCAAATTGATGACAAAGGTCACGGTCCTGCACGCAAAAGAACAAAGTGTTATACTATTACAAAGCAGCTTCTGTCTGCGGTACAGCATCAGGTGATCTCGGGGAAACCTCTCCTAGCATATCAATCTGCTTCTGTGCAATAAGAGCTGGGGATAAGCGGCCTTTCAACTACTTCAAAGCTTTCCATCCTACCATCCATGCTTTTAAATAAATATTACTTCTTTAAAAGGAGGAAAACAACAACAAAAAAAAAAATCCAGCCAAGGTTGCCACACAAATCAGAGATACCTTTCACATACTGGTTACTGAGTTTTCTCCCATATTTGAGAACAGGTGTGTTCTACAAGACAAACAGCCACCCCTTTATCTCCTCATCGCTACCAGGTTAGAGTCAGTGCCAGAAAGGAAGAGACCACGACCGGTATTATTAGATTCCGTTAACAGGAAAACTGTACTGCAACCATATTTTGAAGAATCTTAAAAATGACACTCTATGCTGCTAGATTCCCTCATCCACTTTTCCATAAACTAAGCCCACAGTACCCTGCTATTATAAATCCTCAAGGTGCTCCAGGGTTATAGATACAAGGGCAGAGAACACGTTGCGAAACTGTAGGTTAACTGATTAATGAAGTATTTGATTACTAGAAGAAAGCAAAATCGAATTATTAATGAACTAGCCCACATGCTAGCACCTGATTGCACACATTTGTAATTTGACTCCCCCGGCAACGAGATCATTAAGGTGTAAGTGCTAAGCATGGTCATGACAGCACTTGGAAAACTGCTCATCCCCTTGCATTGCAATTTTTTTTTTTTTTTGTGTCTACAAAGTCAAGTATCAGACCCTATCTTTGACATTAGATAACAAAAATAAATAACAAAGTTATTCAGGCCTGGAGAAGAAGGAATGCTTCTCATCTATCTTCTTCACCCAGTTTTCTAGCAGACCCCAATCATTCAGACCCATAGCAAGCAATTTAAGAAAAGTGGCATACACTCCCAGTCACTCGAATACATAAATATATACACAGAATTACTTTACAAAGCCTGAAGATTTGCACTACCAGCATGCAAATCTCTTTTTCCATGAGAGTTCCTAATACTGACATAGGAAACTGGAATGTACAAAATACTCCATGTCATAGCGCTGGAAATCAAGTCTCAGCTCTTAAGACGTCCCACTGCCAGTGTACACAAGTGAACTTCATCACATCTTACACTTGGCGTGTAACATCCTGGTATTATACACATCAACACATCGTTAACACAATGGCCAACTCAACATTCATATCGTTTCTGAAACTCCGAAGAGATTCGTTTGGTAGAAACTACACCCTGCAGGTTTGAGTTTAGGCTTGTTTCTTTTACTGCCATTAAGTTGCACCATCCGTTAGGTGAGAAGCAGCTCTACCGAGAGAGATACAACTCGGCAGATCACGTGTCCCAGCTGCTGTCTTTAAAAGCTATGTTGACTAATCGCAGTTCTAGCTCAAAAGCATCGGGTCGGTCCTGCGGGTTGGCAGCCAGCATTTCCTTGATCAGCTGTTTCATTCGAGCATTCATGGATTTTTTCTTTACGGGGATGAGCAGTTCCATTTTTGGGTTTTCTAGGAGCGCTTCTCCAACAGGTACGATCGCTGTCCCCTGCTTGACATAACTCCCCAGAAGTTCTTTCTTTGTTTCCGTATCTATGAATGTGATTCTTTCCAACATTGCCCAGATTATAATCCCCAACGCAAAGATGTCTGCTTTGGCAGTGTAGTGTCCTTCCCAGACTTCAGGGGCCATATAGAAGTCAGTCCCACATGCAGTTGATAGAAAACACTTATTGACATTGACTGGTTCCTCAGGATTCTGTCCTGAGGCTGAGCATACTTTACTCAGCCCAAAATCGGCTACTTTCAGGGTGGGCTCCAAGTCACTAGCATCCATCCTGCTCCGAGAGATCAGAATATTGTCAGGTTTGAGATCACGATGAATAATCTGATTTTTGTGCAGGAATGACAGCGCACTGCTGAGCTGAAGCATGAAACTAGTGTTGGTCTTGCGGTTCGGCTTTCGGGACAACAGATACTCATTCATATCTCCTCCATCACAGAAATCCATTACAAACCAGAGGTAATAAGCGCTTCTGGGGTCAAAGACTATTTCTCCTTTTAATGAGGTCTCTACAAGCTGCAACAAGGAAGAGAAACGTCACAACTACCTGATGATCACAAGAATATAAAGATATGATGGAAAAACGCATGAAGTTTGGATCTTCCTCTCGACAATCCAGAGAGTAAGATATTGCAACTGGTAAAAATAAAGCTTTATGTAAAATTTCTGATGTAAAAAAAAATAAAAATCACAATGTATTTGACAGCCTCCTTATTTTTGTGTGCGAGAAGCGTATCAAGTTCACAGTCCTGCCCAGAAGCTAGAGCTAGACCCAGATAAGAGTATTTTGAGAGATATGAAGTGGCCATTGCACTCCCATCTGTTTCGGCTGGACAGCGTCCCACCCCAACAAAGCCCGTCCCACCCATTTCACTAACAACTTTAATGTACAAACAACTAACTCTGCACAGCACCGACAGGTTGTATTTGTCCTCCACTGATGAAGCAGCACCACAATAGATTTTTTTAAAGCCTATTCTCCATTCCTTATGCAGGAATGTATTCTAGCAAGTGTTAACACAAGATCCCTAAACTCAGGGGAATGCCAGTCTACAGGCACAACCGCTGCACCCAACGTCTTGCCCACCATCATGATCCACCAGCTATTTTCTAGAATATGAGCAGCAAGTAGCTCGAGCAGCCGGTTCTAATGGCTGCTTCATACAAAAAGCAAAGTAAAACCAGCAATTAGTTTTACTAATCCCGTTTACACAACTACACGTTTGCCTCCTCAGCTCCTCTGAAGTGGCTCTTTGCATGCTCTGGAAGGTAAGTCTCACAATTCTGTTAGAAGTAAATCAATGTATACTAAACCAAACATAGCTCCTACAGGCTTTCAAAAATTAAGGTTGCTATTCATATTTAGAGAGGCATTTTAAAATGCTTAAAAAAAGTTACTTTTCCCATCCAAGAGCAAAATTACTAGCACTTTATAGCTATCTTTAACTGCGAGCACAACTTGTACTCAAACCAGACCGACTTAAAACAGTAAATCCATGTTAGAACAAGAAAACTACGTATTTAGGGTTTACGGTCAGTAACAGTGAGATTAAGGTATCGCAGGACAGCAGGGAGTCTCCTTTGGCAAGCGAGCACCACCACGCAGCTCTCCCCTCCGCATGGCTCCACAGAAGCTGTACTAACATCTGAGTTCAGAGCCTTAAGACAACACAATCCACTACTACGTCTGTGACGGTGGCAAAGCACCACAGGACCAGGCTAGTTTAGGGCTCTCATGTTACTGCCTTAGTTCAGCTGACACCAGTTAAGCATCTGCCCCCAAGCCCTTCAGGAGACACTAACACCCTCCCCGGCCAACCCTCTCACACTGCACCAGTTCAGCTCTGTAACGCAATATCGCCTGGGCTGGGGAGAGGAGAGGGCAATCCAAGGGAGATCTGATTTTCCTCTATTTTAGCATATACACGCATTTATGAAGTGATCCCAGTCTCTTCAGAGTCCGCTCAGCTCTGCCCTTTGCTCTTCTCTGCTCTCTGGAGCAGGAAAACAACTTGTAGGGCCTGACACGGGCGAGATCTGTGCTCACCACCACCAAAACCCAACGCTGCAGGTGATCTGGAAGCTCTCCCCCACCTTGCAGTTCCACCCCATTTTTTTTTTAAGCTCCTCCCTGTACAGCTGTCCAAAAGTTTGATGCAATATCTCACAGATCCACTAACGACATGGAAGGTAAGGCACTAACTTCTCCCACATGAGCTGGGCAGTACTCTTCTACCTAATCCCTTAATGAAAGCAGGTCAGTAACAACTACTACAGGGAGTTTACAAAAGCAAGAATCCTCTGTCTCAGGCTCGTACAGCACTCAGCACGATCTGGACAACCGTGAAGGATTGTCAGATGAATGTTGAGTAACAAAAGGTCCTACATTAGACACGCAAGAATGACAACAATAGAAACTGAAGTGTTAAAAGCTGACCAGGGATAACACAATGAACATGGAGCAGGCCACTGACTTTTTAAACCAGAGACACAAATTTCTGCCAAGGGATGAATTATAGTTGGGGCAGCTTCTCGACAAGGCAATGAATCGGATTATCTTTCAAGGTCTTTTCAGAGCTACTTATTGTTCAAAAATATGTATCTTCAAACTGAAAGGCGACTTAGAGAACACTTTCAGTAGCCACATAGGGGGAGTGATATTTATTCCCTTATTTATCATACCTTTACCTCTCTTTGAAGGGATTAATAGTTATTTATTCAAAAAAGAAAACAGCTTACCACATGCTACCAATTACTTATTATTTCTGAAAGAATTTTAAGTGCTGGCTTCCTAAATCAAGACTGTTACTTCCTCTTCCAAGGACATCCGAGATTAAGAAATTCTTCAGAGCTCTGTCCCAAGACATTAGTACGCGTCTGCTCATTAACCCCACAGCAGGGCTTCTACCAAGTAATACAACAGCCTGCACTTCCCTTCTGCTTTACCTGTGGTGTTTCCTCAAATTACCAAAGAGGATTTGCATTTTAAAAATACTGGAGTCTTTTAGAGTGGCATGGCTTCAAATTACAAGATACAGGAGATTGTTCAATAGATACGCTCTTTTAAAGATATAAAATAATTTTTGGGTGTCAACACTGTGAACAATACCCTCTCCTAACTAAGCATACCTCAAAAAAAAAAAAAAAAAAGATCTTGGCTACCCACCTCCTTCCCTCCCAGCTACACATCTGTATTAATTACTTCCACCCCATTACCTCAGCTTCATGTACCTGTAAATAAAGGGAGGAACTGGAGCCATGGGACATCTTCTGCACCATACCATCTTTCTGCAAGATGCACTCCTCCAGGTGAATGACGTTGGGATGCTGGCTCTTGATACTGCTAAGTGCCCAGAACTCACGCAGAGCTAGTTCCACATTCTCTGGAGCATGGCACCGAATCTTTTTCACCGCGACCCGTGCAGAGGTCTTCCTGACGACTGCTTCGTACACCACACCATAACTGCCACGACCAACCTCCCGTATTAGATCGTACTTAGGCTGGCTACTCACCATCTTCAAGATCAAGGGTTCTGGGGAAGGGGGAAAAACCCACAGAACTAAAACTCATGAGCAAGAACTGGGCTGTATTTTCCCCCATATGGCTCGGTGCAGCGATATTAGGCCTACCAATACCCTGCAATTAAAAGGGCAGTGACTCCAAGCGTTACACTGAATGCAACGCTGCATTTGAGTGCTAGAATATTCCAGAAACTATTCTGTAAACCTGTACCTGTTGCCACAGACTAGTTAAAAGTGAAATTACATCATTTGGGGGGGATTATTAAGATTTCAAATACAGCCCAGCTTTCAAGGTGGCAACAATTCAAACCTAGACTTGTACTGTGCCGAGACAGGACTATCGCGTATGCTCCTGCTCCTTTCTCTCAGTGTCTTCTGTGAAGATCTGCGGGAATAATAGTATGGCATCATGCTCTCCATCCACATCTGGGATAGCAATGAAGAGGTTCTAGTTGAAGCTTGTGGTTGGGCAGTACCAGATTTAATTAACACTGCCTTTATGGAGGTGACTGCATAAGTAAATGTTTCTGTTATAATTTAATCATGAAATTATTTTACTGATACTAAGACAAGAGGATGCCTCAATCGCTTACGATTTATTTTTTTAATGTTATATGATTTTTCACCCAGTCTCCTCTGAATGAGGAGTCTACGGTTACAAGTTAAAAAGGGGCAACTGATTGCAAAAGCTTGTACCCAGCATCTAACTTCCACTTTTGCTCAACAGGGCAAGGACAAAAGTTAAGATATTGCTCTATAAGTAAAACAAGAGACACACACACACAAAAAAAAAGCCACCAAACCCTGCTACAGATTTATGAACCTCCCTGCACGCTTCCCTGCAAGATGACAAACCAAAACACACCAGCACCACCTTCACACAACCAAACCAAAAATGGGACACTGACTACAGACAGGAAAAAAAAAAAAAGCTTGGCTAGCCAATTATCACTGGTCAAACAGAATGAAACACAAAAATAAATAAATAAAAGTTGACAGCTAGCATATCACAACTAAAATAGTTCGTAAGATTGCCAGTGATAAATGTAATTCTCTTTGTCAGTAAACCAGGCAATAAGGACCACATAGAAAGAGCCTGTTATTAGTAGGAAGCTTTCAAGTATTTCCACTGGTTTGGGTACTTTTTTTTTTTTTTAAGAAAAAAAGGGAAAAAAAAAGAAAAAGAGAGAGAAAAAAGGTATCATCAGTTTCAGGGCAATACTGCACAGACATTTTAACCTTTCAGCAAAGTTCTGTGATGCACCTGTACATGAACATTTTGAACTGAAATGTGATATGCCCAAGAAACGCATTACCATGAGATTCTGCTCACAAGGTGCGCTGAGCACGCACCTGTAGCAGGACTGTGAGGAAGAGATTAAGATTACAGCCTGAACGTTAAAATCTGACGGGCCAATAGCCCCTCCCATGCAGGGAGGGGGGAAGAGCAGGATCGGTAACCTCACCAGCAGCCAATCCTGAGGAAAAGATTGCGTTACTCAAACACTATCACATCAGGTTCAAAACGAGCAGAAAATGTGTCGTGTCCCCCCCCCCTCC